TCCCTCGGGTCTTTTCCTCCACACGCGGCTCCCCTTCCAATGAACTATCAAGGGGTTTATAGGAGGTATAATGCAAGGACAAACCAGAACAGTTCCTGTATTAAACATGACACAGCAGTGCTAATTTAGGAGCTGACTTTAATTATTGCCACTTGTACCTTTTAAGCTGTGCAGCACATTTCTTCTTCCACTCTTCTGTCTGACTTAGTAGAACAGTGACATTTGCTCCTTCCCTAAGTCTGAAAGGAGAAGTGACTTTCACTTGTTTCCAAAGATAAAAACCCCTTCCAAGGACACAGAGAGGAGGAGAAACCTGCCCAGGTTCAGGCCCCTTCCTGCAGCCAGACCTTAGGGTACTTTGATGCCCTTTGCCACTGCCCTCCTCAGTGAGTCAGGGCTCCAAGCGGCTCCGTCTCCACAGGAGGTTTTCCCAGCTCCACTCCCTGCTCGGCGGACAGGCATGCCAATGTCGCGAAGCGGCCGATGACAGCCTGGCTAATGTTGCTGCGACAACACCCAACAGATTTACAGAGATTTAGGCCTTGTCAGAAATTTGTCAGCAGCAGTTTAGGAAATACTGACTGCAGATTTGCAGAGTTAACAACTCTGTGGGTGTTTGCTGTTTGGCTATCTACATAAACAAACAGCTGGTGCAGCTGGAATAAAATCAGCAAAGTTGTTCTTAATTTAGGCTCTTTTGACAGGTCTCTGCTTCAGGCACCGCAGTGACCACAGCGGAGCACACTGACACGCAGCTCATTTGAAAGCACCTAGCTTGGGACCAGAGGATCTCCAGCTGCAACAGCACAGAGCTCACCGTGGGTTCCTTTCCCCAGCTTTTCAGCTTGAATATTTGTGCCAATAGGATTAGCTAAGCCCTTTAAAAATCATAATAAGGAGACTCAAAGGCCTCATGATCCAAAGGGAAAACACGAAGCTGCTCACAAAAGGAGTGGTGCGAGTCTGTGCGGAGGGAGAGAAGGACTCGTGCAAGGCTGGGAGCCAGGAAACGCTGCCTCTGCTGAGGGGAGCTCCGGCCTCCACTGCGATGCCTTTATCTCATCTCAAATGGAAAATGCCACATGGAAAAGGCTCCTATCAATAAAGAGTCTGTGGGGATAACGTGCAGCAGAAAAGGAGGGATTGTGTCTGGACTCGTTTGTCAGGCAAGGACATTATCTGCTGTGAGACTTAGTGTTTCTGCAAGACTTTTCTAACTTCAGTGTCAGGGGTCAGGGACCTTTTCCGCAGCGCCAGTGCTAGCTGGCAGAACTGCTCCTTTCTTTGGGAGTACTTCTTATCAACAGTGCCTTGTTTTATGCTTGTCACTTTTGCTTGTTAGGGGCCAGTCAGACAGGCAGAATGGGCAATTGCCCTCAGCAGTGAAGTGCTCTTTGTGCAATAACTTCTGGCTAAGCAGAAGGATGTATTTCCACTTACAGAAGTCACTTACTTCACCTAACACTAATCTTAAGAGCTATTTTTTTCTTGCTAACTCAAGAACCAACAAGTTTTAAAAGTGCAAAAGCAAAAATGTAAAATATAGAATGAGAACAGCTAGTAAACCTGAAGCCTCCACCCTGCGCGGTGCTGCTTGCTGAGGCAGCAGTCTGTCAGAGCGGGACTCGCTGAGAAGAGCAGTTTTCACAAAAGACTCCAGCTTCTTGTTCAGAGTATTTAGGACCATGATTCATTAGTAGGTCATGGATCAGGGACAGGTCTTTAAAAAAAATAAAAATGAAGTGAAGACTGAAGATCTGTGTGTTCAGAAGCCTCCTAAAGCTATGGCAACCAAGCCCAAAGGGGGCAGGGATAGAAAATTTATCCAAATACGAACTGGAGAGAAGTACAGTGCTATAATGCAGTAAAAAGAGAGTGAGCAATAGCATTCCTATGGCATCGTGAAAGCCTGCCAGGCTCTAATGAGACAGGCTGACTAACACGGGAAGGATATGGGAGATGTTCACCAGGAGCAGGCCTCGACCTTGGATCTCAGCCCAAGTTCTGTAGCAGACAGCAGTAATGAGAAAGGCAACATCAGAAGAGACAGCTCTAACAAAGAAGCAAAAGAGATAGGTAAAGACACACGAGCACTCACCAAGTACTTGGCTTCTTAGTCCTTTGCTTTGGGCTTGACCTCATGTCCTCCCGACTCCCTTTGTCCCATGGTCACTGGGATTCCCAGCTCGGAGAGCAGGTCTACCCTGCCACCAGCCAGGCACAGTGCACCCACCTAATGCATTCACAGCCACTCTGCATGGGTAATTTTTATTACCCAGGGGCATTTCTCTTTTACATATCCCTAGCTACAATTTTACTGAAATCATTTTCTTTTTTATTGGCCTCTTACATTGTTAGAGTGCCTGTGATTTCCCAAAGGTTAGATGATGAATGACAACACATCATAGAAAGACAAAATATAGGCATTTGCCAACTATAAAACTGATTTTTTTCACTGGATATGTTTCCTTTTCTTCTGTGACAAAGATAAGTAACCTTGATGGAGTGAACAATACACATAAAAGGTCAACAACCTTTCTTCTGAACCCAGGATCACACAGAAAAAAAGGTTTGGTTTAACAGAGATACTAGACTTACACTATTGCTACAGAAGCCCCGAAAATGAATTAACTATTTTAAAGACAATTTCAGACAAGATCAGTTGGGTTCATTCCTGAAATGAGTTGTTTTGGGGCAGCCAGCTGGGTCCTTGAGACACTTAGGGGCCGCAGCAAGATCGGTGGGACCGGGGAGGGACAACGTTTAACCACCAACGCGACCAAGCGTACTCCAGGGCCTGGCAGCCTCGGGGGCTCCAGGCCACCTTCCCTTCTCGCCACACTTCCCCTTGGACAAGGCAGGGCAGGAACACCGCGAGCAGGGCCTGCCTCCACACTTCCCTGCATCCTCCCCTCTTGTCTTGAGCCTTTGATGGCAGCGAGAGCCTGGAGCCAGGCACACGCCGGGGATGACTTCTGTGCCAGCTCTCTCTTCTGTTCAAACAGCCCTTCCCAGCTGCTCCCAGGAAGCAGAGCATTAATATCATCTCTTTTCTGGCAGAGGCTACGTGATCTCAGCCAAGATTCAAATGGACCAACAGGTCTACGTATAAAAAAAGGCAGGGGAAAGGCAGCAGGTAACATCAAAGTGTCCACAGGCCTCCCGTTACATGCGTGTCGCCAGACCGTGGTGGCGCTGGCAGATGAGGGGCTCACGGATGTTCCACGTAAATCTACAAGCCCAGGGGAAGAATCGGTATCACAGTGACTGCGACTGCAGTTGAGGTGGCTCCAGGCTGCCAAAACTCCAGATCCATCTTTGACACCTTCCCCCTGTCCTCTTGGCCCTCTCTTGGGCAGAAGGTCAAGCTGCACTGAAGGCTGCATTCAGCAGCAAATGAATAGGAGCATCCCTAGGAAGGGAAGTAAGGGTCACGCTATTCCCAAGCTTGAGACTGTATTTACAAGAACGAAACCTTTGTGTTATTTTTCTTAAAAGAAATCTCTTGTGAGCTAGAGTGATTTAATTTGAAGTGACTGTCTCTGGTGATAGTTGTTTGACATCCAAATCCTGGAAAAGGTGAAAGAAACAAATTCCATAGTTAAAAAACAAAATCTAAAAGCTGCTGGTACCAAAAAAGGAAATAAAAGAAAAATGGAATTTCAAAGCATCAAATGTGACTAACTGGGTTTTAAACAGAAAGACTAAGCGGAAAGCAAAAATATTGTAACCAAAAAGAGCTTGGGAACAAGTTGCATGCCTGAACTTTTGAACTCTATCTTTCCACTGTCCTGTCATACACGAATGACAGGAGAGATGAAGTTGAAAGCCTTATTTCATTTTTTTTAGGTGAGATTAAATTACAGAAAACATTTCTAATACAACAGCCGTGTTAGATTAATTATGCCCTTGAATTAAGGGGCATAATTAATTAATTGCAGATATACAAAGATTTCGAAGCCTTCATGCAAATAATCCAGAAAAAAAATAGCTACTATTTAGGAAAGCACCTCAGCAATCTATCTCACCAAACAGATAAAACTGACAGTGGCTGCAACCCTACCAATACTGCAGTGTACGTATTGGACGAAAAATATAATGAGATGGTTTAAGGAAGAACGGGAGCACGTGCTGCGCTCGGTCCTGGGCACCCTCCTGCTGCCCGCACAGCATCCACGACCCACGGGCATCTCGCCCTACTTGTGTTTTTCATGGAGACAAGTGTGTGGAATGAAGCTGCCACCAAACACACAGCAAAGCGCCCCAAAGCAGCACGGCTCTGCAGCAAGACGTTTGGATGCTGGGGTAGAAGCTGCACATGGGATTCCCTGGTGTTTCAGTGTCAGGAGGCCGGTGAAGAGAACCCAGATGTACTGGCTGTAAAATTTCATGACCTAGTCTAATTTTTTGTGCTTAAAGTAGGCTTTTATATCCAAAGTTCTGCTAATTACCTACAAATTGCTGACAAAAATCAAAAAAGTAGAGGCAAGAGTTAAAAAATGCAGACCATTTCTTGTGAGATCCTAAGACTGTTAAACAGATGGGACGAGAGATATTAATGCACAAGCCTTGTTGTACCAGGCACAAAATTTTGCTCTCTCCTACATGTATATAACCATGGTTTGCTCTCTCGCCTATGTTCCTCTGATTAAAACTATTTATTTTGGATTTTCTAAAGCCTTCACAAGAGCAGTGCACGCACTGTGGAGAAGGGCAGCAATCAAAGTGCTTGCAACAGCTACTACCTTGTGTTATCCTGGAGGAATCAATATTGGTCCTGGCATGATTTGGCGTTGCTGCGACAGAGCTGTTCTGTGGGAGTTCAACAAAAGGCAACGTTAAATCAGTTCGTGGAGCCAACAAAGAAAGAGATGCCGCTCACCAGATTTGCTTATCTCTGAGATACTGTCCTTTTGTTCACTCACTAAGATGATTGAGAAGTATTAAATCATGACCTGTTTTCCACAAAGACGCTGCACGGTTTCCAACCCCCTCCCTACCCTCTGCATTCGCGAACGCAGGAGCGTTTCTTGCTGCACTCCGAAGCCTCCTCGGTTGGGCGCTCTCTGGCACGGTGGCCGTGGGGACACGGAGCCTTCACGCACCGCAACGGGAGCGCTCCCTCTGCGGAGCGAGCCCGCGTCGGGCTGGACGCCCGCACAGCACCCATGTGCCCACGTGACAAGGGACAGGTAAAGAAAGCGCTGCAAGAAAGCTGAGTTTATGTTTTAAAATATGGTTTAGTATATTCCAAAATAAGCCTGCAGTCTCACATACCTCAGACACGCCTCTAGAATGTGGTAGATACAAACTTAAATCCTTGTGAGGCTGAAGAAACCCCTTGAAGGGCTCCAACGCGGCTTCAAAGCAGCGCCGTATCCTGTGTTCCCGGGAACCCTCGGCGGCCCCTCGGAGGAGGCCAGGACCTGGGTTCACACTGTCACCGCGGGGCTGAGGCGGGAAGGGACCTCCGGACACCTCTACTCCAGCCCTCTGCTCGAGCAGGGTCAGTGAGGGCAGGGTGCCCAGGGCCGTGTCCAGTAACATTTCAATTTCTCCTTGGATGGAGTCTTTACGACCTCTCTGGGCCACTGTTTCAGGATTTGATCACCCTCACAGTTAAAAAAAAAAAAATTCTTAGGTTTAAATTTCTTGCAATTTGTGTCCTATTCTTCACTGTCACTGAATACCACTGAGAAGATATGCTGGGAAAATCTGTCAAGAAATCCTGTTTAAATGTCCATTTGTCCCCAGAATGCTCTAATCTGGTTAGAATATTTTAGCTGTATCTTAGTTGATAACAATTTCTTCCACGGTTTCTTAAACATGAAGATGATACAGCAGTTTGAAGGACTTGGGCTGTAGATCTTAATCAGGAAAATCTCCCACCAATTTGCTTGTGTTAAGACCGCAAAACTTATAATGAAAATCAAAATCTTAGTAATAACTGTTTGAAAATGCTGCTTACTTTCAGTGCTGTCTCCCTGCAGAGCTTCCCTTTCAATGCAAACTTAATACAATTTCTCCCCACAAAACAAACTCAACGTCTGGAAAACAGGGAACCTCTTCATATTCCTTTATTGCTTAAACCAGACCTTCTGGAGACAGTTTTTACTTTGCAAAGGAAACCATGTTATGAGAGACAAATAAGACTAAGATCAATGTTTTATTAAGAACAGACTCTCCTGTTACCAGCTGCAGATTATTTTCAATCATGGCCTTTTTGTCTAAATTACAGTTTTCATCTGAAGAGTGTTTTTGGATAGAAAAAGGGATTTGTTCTCAATGCCTAGAATTCCCATCAGGGTACCAACAATATAGCAGGAGCTGTCAGGGAAGCATGTGTTCTTGTCCTGACGTTATTATCCTGCCCAGAGCTCACACATGCAGCACAGTACTTACACTTGCAGCTATCTTTATTTCCATATAGACATGTTCTGTAGCAAAAGCTCTTTGCAGCAGAACAAGGCTATGTCCTTGTAGCCACTGCAGCAGCCCTGAAAAACTTTAAGAACAGAACAGATATAAAGGATTTAATTATTCTTACTTAGGTTGCATATTTGCTTATTGTTCTCTGAAGAAAGCAAAATACTGTCTATGTAGTTGTTTGCAAACTAATGCATTAGCTAAATTTCTGGGTAGAAATTAATGTTTCTGCAAATTTATAGTAAAAGTGTTGCATCCAAATCTAACTTTCAATATCTCTGAAACAAAGCAGCATGTTTAAGCCTCCTGTACCTCAAAGGATAGCAAATACTGAATCATGTACTGCACTATAGGGCAAGATGTCAGGGCAGCCTTGTCACCAGGAAGCCATTTTGAGAGAAACATGACACCAAAAAGCTGCAGAATGCAAAACCAAGGAATATTTACATATTGATTTACTTGGCTGTAATCTGGATGCATTTTATAAGATACTGCACATAAGCTGTTCACACGATTGCCACTGTGAAGCCGCTGGTATTTGGAGCCTGCAGGCAGGTGAACAACGTGCCCAGGAATCCCACGGCTGCCACGTGCTTTGCTTTATGTTCTGTACCACTGCAAAAGCCCTAAAGAAACGGGTAAGGTACAAACAAGGAGGACTGATGGAACCACGAGGCTTAGGGCTGACTGCTTGGAATGGGTTAGCACCATCCTGCTAGACAGGCCAGTCCACGCGCAACCCTTGATTTGAACTTAGAAACGCTGGAACATCACCTCAAATTTTAGAAATATAATTTTAAAAGCCGGGTTGAAAATTCTGTCAGAGTATGTGCATTGCATGCATAACTTCAGCTTCTCTGCAAAAGCAACTCATGCTCCGAAAGCTTCCGACTGACGTGTTTGCTGTGCCTAATTATCAGAGCTCCCAACAGCACCCTCCTAAATTCCATTCTGCCATACACACTATATTTGTGCAGATTAACATAAAAGAAAGTTAACACTTCCATAAGCTACAAAGCTTCGATTAAGGTCATGCAGTGGGTATTTAAATTCTTATCACTCTTAAGTCCTTGATATAATAAGGATGGAATAAGGGAACGACATCAAATAATATGGCTGCATAGTGAAAAAACACATTATCAAACTCGTACTAGTGACAGTGTGAAAAGTGAATAATAGGGTAGCTTAAATTTTTGCCGTGGAAGCTTTGAAGAGACGGCAAGAAGGACAGGGGAGGACAAAGGAAGGGATCTGAAAGCCCAGCGCATCCCGCCTCTCCGAGCGCCCATCAGGGCCCACCTGCCCTGGGGAATTGCTTCACTGCCTCACACTGCAGTAGGAGAGCCAAGAAAATGAGGAAATGAAGCAGCATTTGCATTTGTATTGTAGTAAATAACGTACCTCAGAAAGTTCCTGAATTCAGGCTATCATTCCACCTTGAATAATGATCAGATGAATAAACAGTTCCTTCTGGTCTCTCATGGATTTAAGATATCTCCAGGCAGAATCCCAGAGGAATGAGGTGTTTGCTGTGTGTGCTGAGGGGGTGTTTCTAGCTGTTAGTTACATTCTTTAAGAGTTTCTTTCCCTTCCTTCCATATCACCCCTCCATTTTTTTCTCCTCCCTTGCGCATATACAGGCGCAAAACCAAACATTTTTCCTCCTTCCTTCACGGTATCACCTCATTTTATTACATTTGTGGAGAGATGCAGCTGACAGGCCAAGAGTTTAACTTCATTGCACAGCACAAAGATGGAGACAGAATGTTAATTTATGGCAAATCACAATGTGGTATCCCAAAAACTGAGGAAGGTGCAAAGCGGAGCCATCTGGCATCCTCTCCTTCCTCCCTCTGAAACTGTCACATTTTGAGATCAGCCTGTGTTTTCCATCAAAAATTGGGAATCCATAGCCCATAGGCTGGGAAATATTGACAGAGTAGGTGGACAAGGGGGCAGGAAGCCTGAATCCTTCCTCAGTACTTTATTTGGTGTTGATTTAGCTCCAATCTGCTGTTTCTATTTCAGCTAGCAGTGGGAGAGCAGCAAATCAGTCCCATGGCCATGACCACAGATGCCAGGGTATCCAGGAGGCAGGCGAGCTGCAGGAATTCCTGGGAATCCTTCACCTCCATGAGGTCATGACATCAATTTCCTCAGTCTATTGCAGGAGCCAATTCCTTTGGGAAAAACATGTCCTTTTACCCCAATCTGGAAGCGGCACCTGCTTTGACATTTGGCTCCGTATTATCGCGTTTGAGCAAACAAGCATTTGCAGAGACACCAAGAGGAACAAGAGCAAAAATTCAGCTCTTTTGATGAAGAGGGCATTTTCTGTGCGTATGCGATTGCTGTGGCTCCGCTGGCGCGGGGACCTGGGACAAGGACACGTACCCGTGACAACGGGGCCCGCAAGGAGCCGGGCAGGCTGGAACGCGCCATGGGACAAGGACACGTACCCGTGACAACGGGACCCGCGAGGAGCCGGGCGGGCTGGAACGCGCCACGGGCGGCTCCTTCCGCGCGAGCGATGGCCGCGGCACCTCCGTCCACGACGTGACAGAGAACCTGCCCGCACCCTTCCATGGGCTTCATCCCCTCGAAGCACCGTCCCGTCTGTGCTATAAATAAGTAACAGCTTTACTTTTAATGTGCAGTTCTCACAGGTAAGCAGGAGAAGATTGTTTCTTTACCACGCAGGAAAAAACATATTGGGTGTAGCAATGAAAAAGAGGCAACATCTGTACGGCCCAGTAGGTCACAGGAAAGGAAATAAATCAGAAAAGTGTTACATAGAGGGGGGTCAAGTTTACTTGGTTTACCATTCATGCTCTATCTGTTCATCTCGCTTAACAAGGTAAAATTTTTGCAACGTGGGGAATAAAATAGTAGCTGAATTGCCAAAGCAAAACTTCACTGCATTCATTATGCTGACCTAATTATTTCTATCTATTTGGCAGTCATTTTCATCCATGAGAGGACTGCAATGTAGAAGAGTGTTAGTCTGAAATAAAAAACAACAAAAAAACAAAGCCACAGCAGTTATGCCTTTTTTGTTCTTTTCCAATACACACAACAATCACAAGAAGTTTTGTGTTACTTTGCCTGGGTCTGAGGACACCATACGTGGAAGCATGTACTTCATGTACTTGTTCACGAGTTGTTTGTGAAGGGTTCAATTTGCATCTTAGCTCCACATCTCTTCCACAAAAGGACTATGATGTTTTTTTTACAAGCCATAAACTTTCTCTCGTCAGAGACACTATCTCAACATAGAAGGACCCATCTTTTAAACACTGAAAGCATCGTCCCTTACAAAAGGGCACAAAAATGCAACATAATGCAGGGTCTGCTTAGTCTCCTTTGCTCTCACTGAATAATACCTAATTCTTTCAACAGTTCCACTGTGCATTTCTATTTATTTGATCGAGGCAATATTTACTGCAACATATTCATGGTAATTTTCAGGCAACTGACTCAGTCATATTTATGCTGCAAGTCCTTCTTTCTTTTCTAAGCCATTCATCCAAGCTTTTCATTAAAGAAGAGAGAATCTATAATGGATTCAATGTGTAATGCAAAGATTAGCTTTTATAATAGACTTATTTCTGCCCAAGTCATCAAATATTGAATGTCTAAGTTCTGAGACAGTCAAGTATAAAGAGGAGCTGCCTCTGAAGATGACACCGAGGGTGCAGGGTAGCGGAGATCTCCATGTGTCCAAAGCAGACGGGCCCTGCGGAGCCTCCTGCCCGACGCAGCTCTTTGCTGGCCCCGAGGCAGCGAGCGCCCACGGGAGCCGCTCCTGCCTGCCCCACGTTGGCACGGGGCCTGCAGAGCCCCGCGGGGGTCCACAGCACCGGGACTGCTACGGCAGCAGCGCGGCATTCCCAAAGGGAAAACGTCCTAATTGCTGCTGCGACAGCCCAGGGCCTGCGCGGGACTGGGGCAGGCAACTGCCGCCGGGAAACACCTGGGATATCCGAGGCTTATAGATCTTGCTGTTCAGGACCATACCCTATTACTTTCCCTATCTCCACCCTTTCCCCCAATCTCTTCTCCCTACCAGACATCCTTTCCACTTCCATCCACAGCTATTCCTTCCCAGATTCACCTATCTTTCCTCTCCATGTCCCCCAGCCCTGTTTCCGAGGCTCCCTCTTCTCTCTGTTGGTCTCCCACCCTTCTTTACGCTGAGGCACAAGGAGTAACAAACATGTTGGTCCAATATTCCTCCAGCACCTAAAGTAGTAACCAGACAAAACCCTGCAGCTTCCCTCGGCAAAGCTGCCACTGAAGTTAACAGTGAAGGAGTCAAACAGTGATACTGCCTAATTTGGCCTTAAATGCTGTGTATATTAAAATGGAAAGGAAAGCAAAGAGAAGCTGTCAGTTAGCATTCCAGCATTTGGGTACAAAATTAAGAATCAAAGTCTTTTCTCAAACTAGAGCAGACATGAACTCTTCTGAATAGGCCAGAACATATCAACAAAACATACAAATGAGCTCTGAATAGCTATTTCTATTAATAATGAGCCATCAATCCCTCTGGACAAGATTTTTTTATTTCTCAGGGATATTTACAGGCTAATAACTAAATCAAATTGATTAACAGGAAGATGAAGAAACAGGAATCTTCAAGGCCTCAGCTACAGTAAGTGGAAGCAAACAGGAAGATAGTCACAGAAATTATTTTTCAGCAAACAATTTGCTATGAAGGATCTGCCAAGGGCATAAGGTAAATCAAACACTCCAGGAGTACAACCAACAGTGACATGCAGCTATTCGGCTGTCTAGCAATACGCACACAAAATGAGCAAACAAATGCATGAATCTGAGCAACTTAATAACCTGGCCTATGTAACTGCAGGGCCCAGACAGGCTCTAGCAAGCCACACCAACCTTAATAAAGCACAGATCTCTAATAAACTGCTGCAGAGGACCTAAAATTGCGTTACTCATATTTAGGAAATAAATGATCTGACAAGTTGCATGATTTACTTGGAATAAGACATGTAATGATCTGTTTTCTTGTTTCCTCTCTTTATTTGCAGTTTAGAGAGACGCATAAATGACTAGTGAATGTATTCATTGAATATTTCATTGGATCGATTTTTCAAATATGTTTATAGACATCTGTTTTTTTTTTTATTTTTCCTTTTTTATTCATGCTGTCCCACCACACGGAGAACTACAGCCGGCCGAGGACACAGAAATCGATCCCGAGGGCTCCTGAGTTACAAGCAGCAGCAGCAAGTGCTGCTTTGCTGGCAGCTGGGAGAGGGCTGGTGGCCCTCCAGCGACAACCTGGGCCTGTGTGGCAGAGGTTGCAATGATGCTGGGTCGAGTCTAGAAGCGTGAATCAGAGCTCAGAGTCACCGCCCTCGCGCATAGACTTTATTATGATAAAGAAATCAGAGAACAAGTGATAAAACACACTCCAAATGCCCTAGCCCCTGCTGAGCCAGAGGCACAGATTAACTTGCCAAGACTTGCAGGGAGCAATAGCATAAGTGTGATAAGCAATCCAACTTTCGGGGTTTGATACTGCTTAATCATAATGAAATGTCGGGCCTCCATGCCATGTGTGCCCCAACCAGAGGTTCTTTACACTTTGCAGGATACCTACTCATCTTTCTCCCTAAAACAAATAATCTCTCAGTCTCATTGCAAGCCACCAGTGACACTTAATATTCTGATCACTCTGTGCGACTCCACCTGGTATACAGTGTTTTAAATCCAGGCGCTGTTATGGCTGTGCATTTTCACTAGCTTCACACAACAGAGCTATTCAGTAAGAAGTAAATCTAAATTCCGATCCTCAACTGATGAGGTTTATATAGGTATTTTGTTTCAGACTTTTATGCATCTTGAAACCACATCTGTCAAAACATGTTAACTAAACAATGGGATACTTAAACACCCTCTGCAATATCAAGAAGCTTTTTTTTCCTCCCATTTCACTGGTTACAAACCTTTTTGATCTTAAACTGTGACAAAGGATCATTGAAAAAGTCCCCACTGTCTGGTAATGTCTAGAAAACAACATTTATCCTAGACAGTTTATCAATGTGTCATTTAGCTCAAGCAGATTATAAAGAGGGATGAAACACAGTGGCTCCGCAGGGACTTTCAGAACTGCTGCCCATGGCCCCCCCTTGGCTGATGTTGCCTCTGCCCCCTCAACCCTTCCAGAAGGAGCCCATCCAGATCCCTCTCCTGCAGCCTTATGCTCCACATCACCCACTGGTTGAGGCCCTGACCCCGGACTAAAAGGAACACCAATAAAATAAAGAGTTTCCTGTTATCCTGGAGCTTCTCCTTGCATGCAACTTTCCTCATTTACCGCCATCCTGCTCTGCTGGTTTCAGGTATTGCCTATACTTCCCCATTAGCCTCTCTAGCGAAGAGCAGAGTTTGGAGCATGTAACTCCTTGATGTGATTTATAAAGTCATCTAACTTGTTTTCTTTCTAGCGTATCTTGTGTAATCTATGTGTCTTTTTATCACAACGTGTTATCTGCCCCCTTTTTTTGCTGTAGCTGTTTATCAGAGTCACAGTAAAATCTATTCCTCCGATATTATTGACGCCTAACCCTCCCCGTCCAGACCTGGACGAGGCCACGGGCAGTGTTCTCCATGATGCCCATGAGGCTCCTGCACTGCAACCTCCCACCCTGCTTGTGATCACCTTGCGCTCACCTCACAGCCCTCACGACTAGAAGCATCTCCAATTTGTTCTGTCCTGACACAGCACCGAGCGTGAGACGACCCTCAGCCAGGACTAGTGCGCCCCAGAGATCAGGAACTGGCTAAAATACAACTAGCACCAGCTGTTCCCCACAGCTGGCACCACACACTTGGGCTTGGGGAGATGGCCTCCCACTCACTGCCTTAGTACTTCTAATGCCAACGAGTCACTCCGGTATTTTGTGGCCTGACAGGATTCATGAGGCTTCAGTCACACAGCGCCTACAGCCCTCCGGAGTCGGGCTCAGGTTTTATATCCTATAGCCAATGGCTGCAGCTATTTCCAATCAAACACTGTGCTGCCATCAGCGACAGCGTCAACGGTTGGTTTTAGATCCAATGCGCTAGTTAACATCAGCTTTGAAGAGGGAATGAACAGCCAAACTGACACAAGAATTAGTGTTTAAAAACTAAACAAGAGGGTAAGAGGAGCCACCTCTTGGAAAGGGATGTGTGTGCACATGCATTTACATGCAGCTGGGGAAGGAGGGACAGCCCAAGGGGACCTCCAGGCAGCAGCGCTTCACAGCGCCCATGTCCCTGCAGACCCTTTTTCTATGAAATATTAAAAGGTTTAAACAACTAAAATCCATCAAGCTACGCGTCCTCATTGAGGGGTCTCCGAAGCTCTCGCAAAGCAGAGGTGCCAGCTCCGCTGTGCCCAGCGACACCGACAGGCACGAGCAGGACGCCCGGCCGAGACACCCCACGGCAGTCCGGGAGCCAGGTCCGGGCTGTCCACGGGGCAGCTCCACGTGCCGAGCGCACGGGGGCCGGCGCACGCTGGGCTGTTCCGGAACCAAACTCTCTCCTGTCAGCGCTTCATTTATGATCTGAGGACGGAG